TTGCTCAATATTCATCTTACTTGATCTCTCAGCAGTATCTCACCCAGTTCTTTCCTTGGCTTCCAGGATGCCACCCTTCTTTGACTCCCTCCTACCTCACTGTTGCTCCTTCCCCATCTCTGTTGTGGGTTCCTTTTCTTCTAGAGCTCTTTGACTTACAAGTGTGTCTCAGGGCTCAGCCCTTGGTTCCTGTCACTGTCTCACTCCATAATTAGGTTAGTCTCATTAGTACCACAGTTTTTAATACTATCTCTATGCTGATGATTCCTGGCTTGTGTATCTCTAGCCTAGACCTCTTCTAAACTCCAAACTCAACTTTCTAGTTGACGTCTCCACTTGGATATTTAGTAGATATCTCCAACTGAATCCAAAAATGAAAACTGGGGTTATTCCGGGGGGCGGGGAACCAACTCCATTTGGAGTCTTCCTCTTCTCACTTGTGGGCAACTCCACGTCTCCTGTTGCTCTGGCCAAAAACCTCAGTCATTCTTGATTCTTCTCTTTTTTTCTCATACCCTACAACATATCCATGAGAAATCCTGTTAGCTATACTTTGAAAATACACAGCTGGGTGTGGTGGCACACACCTATAGTCCCAGCTACTAGGGAGGCTGAGCCAGGAGAATTCCCTGAGCCCAGAAGTTCTAGGTTAACAGTGACCTATGATCATGTTACTGCACTTCAGCATGGGTGACAGAGTGAGACCTTCTCTCAAATACATACGTACATTCAGAATCAGACCACTTCTCACCAAGAGTGATCCTTTAAAAAATAAACAAAAAAATAAAGTCAAATCATGTCCTCTACTCAACCGTCCATTTCACCCCCAAGTCTTTAAAATGGCCTTCGTGATTTCACACATATACCATAAATCTCCCTGACTTTATCTTCTTTTACTTCACTTCTTGGTTCACTCCAACCTCTCTGATCAAACATTTCAGGCATTTCCATCCCATAGGACCTTTGCAAAGGCTATTCACCTCGTCCAGTATGCTCTTCGCCAAATAATCTGCACAGTAACTCTCCTGTTTCCAAGCCCTTGCTCAAAAGTTACCTGTTCAATGAGACCTACCCTAAACACTATTTAAAATTGCAGCTCCATTGTAGGGGGGAAGGGCATGCCTCTAACCCTCACTTGGGTTAGGCAGAGACATAAAGTGTAACCATAATGTTTGTACCCTCATAATACCCTGAATTAAAAAAAAAATAATAAAATTGTAGCTCCCCATCTCCAATCCCTTCTGCCCTCTATTTTTCCCCATAACACTTATTTTCTAATATAATTTACCTGTTTATTATGATCATCATTTATTTTTTATCTCCTCTCACTAAAATTCAGGTACTACATGCCAAGGGATTTTTGACTATTTTGTTCATTAATGATGTGTCTAGAAAAATGCCTTGCACACAGCTGGTGTTCAATAAATATTTGTTGAATACATTAATTAAAGGGTAAGATTGAAAGTTTGACATAATAAAAACTTTAAAATTGTGGGTGTCAAAAGACAAGCTTGAAAGCCAACTGAGGAAAAAAATGTTTAGAACAAATGATTCATACCTAATATATACAGGTATCTTACATATGAATATGTAAGACATTAACCCCTCTTAGTGGGTGAAGAAATGAACAGAAAGATACAATGGCTGATAAACAAACATGAAAAATCTTCAATGTTGCTAGTCAGAAAGAAATGTAAATTCAAAAGGTAAGATACTATTTTTCATTTCTCAGGTACAGATACAAAGTAATTTTTCTTGGTCAATATTATAGCGTGATAGGAGTATAAAGTGGTACATTTTTTAAGTCTGAAATGTTTTTACCCTGTAATTCCATTTCAACATGAAATTCCCAAGAAAACCATCAAAGATGAGATTGTACATTCATAGACAAAGATGCTTACTGATTATTTTAAATACCAAAAAATGTAAGCACCTTAAATTTCCAATAATAGAATTGCTAAATAAATTGTCATGTATGAGAATATGCAGCCATATAATTTTAAAAGGTGGTTTCTAAGAAATTTTTAATTACATGGAAAGTGCTCAGAATGCAATGTCAAGTGAGAAAGAATGCAAAACTATCAACAATATAATGATAGTTAATACTTACATAACACTTGCTTTCAGCCTCTCTTGGCTAAAGCTCTTTAGGATCAAATCTGAACTTGGCGAGGCTGAGGATCTGGCTCTGCTTTCCTCTCCCGCCTCAGTTCTCCCCACTCCCTTCCTCGTACTTGGCATTTCAGACAAATGCAAATGCTGTTTCCCCAAACTTGCCCTACTTGCTCTCTCTCTGCTCCAAGCCTCTTCCCGCTGCCTGGTGTCCCTTATTCTCCAGCCTCCTTTGCTTGAAAAATTCTCCTTCAGGTTTTAGAAAATCTGCCCCAAACCTCCCTAAGGGGAAGTCCATT